CAATAGAAAGCTGAAATTAGGCACACCTGAGCTATGCTTCAAGTCAGGTTTTGTGACAGCAACCACATTTTCAGTTCAGGTCAGGTCACTGACCTACGTATGACGGCATAAGTGAACCTCTGTACGGTCCTAAAATGTCGCAAATATGCAATGCCCTCAGACCCAGAAAAAAAAACTTTCACAGGGAAATGAGTCTTACAGAACCTAGAAGTCCTAGGGTCATAGGGACTAGGGTCCTAGGGTCATAGGAGTTTTTCGTAAAAAATCCTATCAAATTGAGATAGCGAATAGGGAAAGCCGCCAATGGACTCGGCAAGACCTACCAGATCAAATGATATGCAACATGACCTCCTTCGGCCAGATTCGTGACCTGAGAGGCTCTGACCTGAACTTGGCCCGACCCGGAAAATCTGACCCGATATGACCTGACCTGAAGTCAGGTCATATCTTCAGGTCATTTCATATCTATTATGAAAACACCTTAAGTTGTTTTCACCTAAACAAAAAGCAGATCATTTGACGCGTCTCGGCATGGAAAACACGATGATGCAAAATCGTGTCTCTGCGACCGTTTTTTGGCAAAGTTATGAACAAAAACAACAACAAGACAAAAAACGAACTCGATACCAAACCGATACCAACACGGTGTTTAGTATTTCAAGGGCAATGCATTCGGTATTTTGTTTGCATTGTGAATCGTCCCTTATGAAAAAGAGGCTCTGAATTTGGTAAAAAGTTGGAATTTTCCTGAGTTTACAAAATTGATTCGGTTTCGGTATTCTTCCATGGTCATTGTTGGTATTTGGTTTGGTATGGGTATCAAGATTTTCTGTAATTGACATCACTAAAATGAACCATACAAAAGTGGAAGGTACTCAGGATTTGAGGGCTAGGAAGCCTATTACTTTATTTATTTTATTTATTTATTTACTTCGTAGTGGCCGTCCCCTATCTATGACCGAAGTCAAAGAGGCTATTCTTGGCACTGAGTCAATAAAAGATGGTGATGAAGTGGGTAAAAGAACATCATGCTATGACATAAAAAATGCTTAAAAATCACGATAAAAGCGCACAACACAATGCACATACATATACATACATATCACACTTCGTCCGCACCAGACGTCAGTCGACGTTTCAGCTGGTTTCTAAACTCGGTGACGGTCAGATCAGTAAAGGCGGCGGGGAGAGCATTGTACAGCTCTGCGGCACGGTATGTAAACTGCCGCTTTCCCGCCGCCGTGCCGCGTATGTCAGGGAGACTCAGCAGGTTGTCACTGCGAGTGCTGCGCACATGGTTCGGCCGTTCGCGGTTCGTGAAGAACCGAGCAGCCAGAGACTCGGGCTGCCCAGTCTGACGGACCTTATGAAGCAGTGTGAGGGTGTGATGGACGACCAGGTCTTGGGAACACAGCCAGCCCAGGTCTTCTCGCACGGCGGATATATGGTCAAATTTACGCTTTCCAGAAATGATGCGGGCTGCATAGTTGAAATTTTTTTGAATGGTTGCCATGTTTCTGCCAGAACCGTTGCCGTACACTGCCAAACCATAGCGGATGTGCGAGAAGACTAGGGCTGAGACGATGATAGGAAGGGATCCGGGGGGTAGGTAGTGACGTAGGTGAGAGATGGCGGTCAGGATCCCTACGCACTTCCGAGACAGCTGTGATACGTGCGAATCCCACGAAAGATGACGGTCGAAAGTGATACCAAGATTTTTCGCCTCGTAGCCGGGAAGGAGAGCTGTACTCCGAAATTTTACAGAGAAGGGGGGAAGGTTTCGTAGATTTTGCCGAGTGCCGATAGGGAGGAGCTCAAATTTCGCCTCGTTGACTTTCAGTCCATTGGACCGAAAGTACGCGTCCAGGGATTGAAGGGCCGCCTCCATGTCACCGATCAAGGCTGGAAAGGCGTTTTTTCTGCCAGAGACGAGAACCTGCGTGTCGTCGGCGTACTGCGTGACGCAGGCGCCGGCGGCATGCAGGCTGAGGTCGTTCGAAAAAACCGTGAAGAGAAGAGGGCCGAGAGAGGAACCTTGGAACACGCCTTTGGTAATTGGACGAGACTGGGAGATAAGTGTTGGAGAAAGGCTGACGCTCTGTGTATGGCCGGACAGGTAGCTGGAGAACCAGGAGGTGTCGATGCAGTAAAGCTGCAGCTTGGATAGTAATTTGGAATGATCGATGACATCGAAGCAGCGACTCAAATCGATGAGGCAGAGAAGCGAGATTTGACTTTGATCCATTGCGTGAAGCGCGCGGTCGGTGACGTTAATGAGGGCTGTCTCGGTAGAGTGTTGGGGCCTGAATCCGTGTTGGGATTGGGAGAGGAGATGGTTGGATGCGAGGTAGTCGTACAGCTGGAGCTGCACCACCTTCTCCACTACCTTCGCGATGACAGGAAGGATTGATATAGGACGGAAGTTTGAAGGATCGTCGGTGTTCCCGGACTTGTGAATTGGATGTACCAGGGCGTGCTTCCAGGATGACGGTACCTCGTTAAGAATGATGCTGGAGTTAATGATGTGCAATAAAACAGGACCGATGATGCTAAAAGAGAGCTTAAAAGTACGAATACAAAGACTATCAGTGCCACTAGCGGAAGAGTTGCGCATACTAAAAATGACTAGATGTAAATGACTAAGCGTGATGGGCTGAAGGGTGAAAGCGCAGGCGCCCACCCGCGGCAGCCGCACCGGCACCTCACGGGCGGGACCCAGCGCAGCCACCTCCGCGGCTACCCGCGGGCCGACGCCGACAAAATAATCGTTAATGGCGTCAGGGGTGACAGCTGGAAGCACACCCCGGTTTGGTCGCCCGTCGGTAATGAGGTGACGCATGTGTCGCCAGAGGGAGCTGGGGCCGTCGCTGCGAATCCTATCGGATATGTGCTGCCGGTTGTCCGCACGTATAGCAGAGCGCACCTCACGGTTGAGCTGGCGGTACTCAGCTGAGGCGTGCCCACCGGCCCGCAGCGCTGCCCCTCTCCGTATAATCAGGTCACGAGTCTGGTCAGATACAGGTGGAGCCACCGGGTTTCTGAGCCGAACATCTCTAAAAGGGGCGTGTCGGTCGATGACGAGGCGGAGCCGATCAGAAAACAGCTCCCACTTAACAGCGACAGTGTCAGCGGCGAACACAGCGGACCAATCAGTGGCGGCCAGATCGCGGCGATATTCGTCCGCGTCAATGCGACGCAGCGCACGAGTTCGCACAACAGTGGGGTTTTGACGAGGCTTAGGCATTAGGCTTAGGCATACTTACTTCTTGTATGTTTGAGCTTTCCAGGGATGCGGAGCCGTGCAAATTTCAGACGGCTCCGGCTCCGGCTCCGGCTCCGGAGAAAAAAATCGGCTCCGGCTCCGGCTCCGGCTCCGGCTCCGGCTCCGAGTAAAATGGTCCGGCTCCGGTGGCTCCGGCTCCGGTTCCGACTCCAACTTAGTACGTCCCATAAGTGATCAATTGAATACAGGTGAAAGGAAAAGGGTGATTGGATTAGAAAGGCGAGTTCGCTGCACCGGCTTCAAAACAATGCCGTCCCCTGATGACCGGTCGTCAGGCTCTGGGATGCAGTAGACGTGGGGAGGGAGGAGCAGGCAGGAGGTTGATTGTGTACTCTGAGACATTGGGAATACGAGTACACATTCAGCCTTTTTCATTCACGTGATGGCCCATGACGTACCACATGTTTAACTGCCTTGTACCGTCAAACCGTACTAGGTCAATTATTTTTTTCTTGTTCTTCTTCTTAAAAAAAGAAATGAGTCGGAGTCGCCCGTTTATTTGACGGCTCCGGCTCCGGCTCCGGCTCCGGGCTATATTGTTTCACGGCTCCAGCTCCGGCTCCGGGCAAAATGTGCCGGCTCCGACGGCCCCGGCTCCAGCTCCGGCTCCGGTTCCGCACTTCGGGAGCTTTTTGAAAAAAACTTCTTTGCACTGAGGGCGTATCAAAGTTGCAATATATTTATGGTGTGCATATGATCTGCAAGCTTTTTGTCAGTGTTCGATGGTTAAACAGGCGTTACAACTAGCCGCCTTTGTTCTAAGATCATGGACCACCCATCCACATGCTACACAATTGTTTTTATTTGTCCCAATCGCTCTGGAATTTCTCAAACTCCCTGGCCGATCAGTAGGTCTGCAAACACCCAAGGGAGTCCCAAGGGAGTTTGCAGACTCACTAACGGGTCAAGGAGTTTGCAAACTTAACTTCACGGATTTCTCAAGCGCTCTGTAACATATGTACCATTATTGCTGGTTGAGACCATTTCTTTCAGGGTTATCCCCTGACACTAAAACGTGTTTGTATTGCGCTCTCTCTCTCTCTCTCTCTCTCTCTCTCTCTCTCTCTCTCTCTCTCTCTCTCTCTTTCTTTCTTTCTTTCTTTCTTTCATTCTCTCTCCCTATTTATCTTTCTCTCGTCTCCTCAATCTTTTTCCCTCTCTTTCTCTGAAAAGCAGCGAACTCCTTTTGTTTGCAACACTGTTCAAATAGGGTCAAACACGAAAGTAGGAGCCAGGTATGCACCAACCTCCTATAATGAAAAGATCTAGAATGGCCAATACTGGCGCGGGTAAAATGAACCTACGCCTGATATGACACAGAGGACACCACTCATGGTTTATTTTTTTCGTCGATTCATGCATATACTTTACCGAGGCAAAGAAGTCTCGTTTTTTCTCTGGTCATTTCCGGTGAATCCGCAATCGCCTTCGATTGTAGCGAGTAACAATACAGCCGGCTGGGGGCCTGAACGCTACAGACGGCACGACAGCTTTGTTCCACCTGCCCAACTGCGCCGCGACTGAGAGGCGTTCGATATGATTCCAGTGATGCTGCTCACCGATTTATTTTCCTCAACATTACATACACAAAGATCGCACATATGGCGCGGTGAGGGGACGGAGACCACGGCCCGGTGTAGAGGAAACAGCGCCGAGCCGGGACGGTACAGGAAATGATATAAGTTGGACGGTGGACGTGTCATCGGAGTCAGTTGTACTCCGATGACCACCATGAGAGCGGTGAGTGTCACTGACGGGCAGAGGGAGCGGGAGGGGAGGGGAGGAGAGGGAGAGAGGGGTGGAGGAGGGAGGGAGGGGTGGCAGAGATAGACGTGAGGTGATAGGAGCGAGAAACGAGTGAAGATGAGAGGAGGGACTGTGCGTGGGGACTGGTGGACGGTGGGTAATGAATGGCGGATGAATTGCAGGGGATCAAGCAATTCCTTTTGGATTTGGTCATGAACACATTTTTTTTTTTTGTTAATGATTTTACGGTCTTGGGTTAACTAGTGATCTGTGAGGCTAAGTCAAGTACCGGCTTGGTAGGGGTTCGGTTTTTGGTAAATAGCTTCGCCAGAAATGACCGCAGAGTCACAATTTAGACAGCATCGTGTCTTGCATAACCAGGCGCATCGATTTATTTTTTTAGATTAGATCAACGAAGGGTGTTGGCATCCGGTGAGCCCTTTCACTTAAAGAAGGTTCGAATTGGGACGGACTCCTCTTTCTTTTCTTTTTTTTGGCGAACATAAAAAAGGAATATAGCCCCGAAGTTTTCTGTACCCCCGAGAAAACAAATACGTACAAATACGAGGTACATCTACCCTTAACGTATTATTACGACCCGAATGAATTATGAACTGTGTGAGTCTGTTTCTCGAGACGATGTCTGACAGGAAGGGTGATTCGAGTGTTTCAGCGCACATTATCCGCGTGTTTTCATGCTTTTTGTCAATAGAAATGCTTGCACCTGAAATTATAAATAACCCATGTATTGTGGTGGGTATGAGGGTCATGTAAAAATTGGGTCAAGGTCATAAACCTTATATTACATTGGTTGAATTTTTTAAGTTTGCAATTTTTAGGGTAGTTTAGGAGCTGATTTCGAATTTAGCATCGATTTGAACATTTGACAACTAGTTTTGGTGCCTATGCAGCATGGAGCGAGACTGATGGTCGTCGTTAGCACGCTATATGGATAGCGCAGGAAGCCTTGACCTGACCTGACCTGACCCGAGGTATTACGAATCCATGAATGTACCTACCATCTTTGATCAAAACGAATGCAAATCAAAACAAATGCAAAATTATCAATTAACCCGCGCGGGGCTGGGGTCTCCAGCCGAACGCGCGGGGCTGGGGGGGGGGTAAATTTTACCCCCCCCTGTTATCTCCCGAACTAATGGTCCGATTTGGAAAATTCAAACGCCAATCGAAAGCTCTCATCACGAACTACTAAAAACATGTACTTAATTTAAAGTTTGAGGTCAAGGTCAAGGTCAGGTCAAGGGTACAAATTGCAAGTTTCTACAGTATCGGCCTTGCGCCGTAGTTGCCGAAATATGGAGTCATGGACTGAGACTGATCGCCCAAAACGTGTTCTTAGGCTACCAAGACAATATTCGTTGCATACAATATCATTCAGAGGTCAAGGTCAAGGTCAGGTCAGGTTAGGTCAGGTCACCAAAAAACAAAATATAGAAAAGGGCATGTGCGACACATGTTTTATGGGTCATTTTACTCATAGAATTCAATAGGCACACTCAATAAGTGATATGGACCACCTCTGGATGAATTTCAGGTCGAGGTCAGGTCAAGGTCAGGTCAAGTGAGGTCAAATTTTGAAGTTGGTTGTTAAGGCCTAAAAAGGTGTCTATCTGATGCAGTTTTTCACGGCAAATCGAATGGTGCTATTTTTGTTTCCGTACGAGGTCTAGAACTTCCAAAAAAGTCATTTTTCAAAAAAATTTGTGTGTCGTGACGTCATAAAATTTTGAATAACTCCCACATTTTTGAACCGATTCTTCTGAAATTTGGTATGTAGGTGCACATAGACCACTTCTCTGAAATATATTCCGGTTTTTTTGATAGACTCAAAATTTTTGATTTTATAATGATTTTCCCAAAAAAGTCAGTTTTTTTTTTTTAAATTAGGCCAAAATCCAAAATTTTCAAAAAACCGAGATAGCCATTTGATAGACAAAGTAAAATTACGTATAACCTTTTTGTTACGTCTTGATTCCTTTAAAAATGAAGATGTTAGCGGCGTTTGAACTTTTGCCGTTTTTGAGGCGAAAATGGCGAACATGACGTCACTAAAACGTCAATTTCTCAAAAATTTTCCGACGGATTTCGCTCAAATTTTCAGAGAACGTGTCAAATTCATGTAAGAAAAGGTACTGAAAGTTTGGCGGCGCTGCGCGCCGCCGTTTTTGAGATATCGCAAAAATTCGCGAGGGGGGGTAAATTTTACCCCCCCAGCCCCGCGCGGGTTAAAGATTGCTAAAGGCCTGATTTGAAGAAGATCTAGTAGCCCCAAATTTCCCCGACGTTCGGGTTATTGTCCCGACCTGGAAGCTCAACTAATAAACTATTATAGCACTTTAATTAGACCCGCGCCGAGCTGGTGGTCTGAGTTTTCCGTGTCGTGCTGAGGGGGGGGGTCACGCCCCCAGTCTTACTCGGCTTCTGGGCCACGTAGTGACATGCAGTAAGTGGCATGCGAAGGAGTGTCAAAAAAAATGAAGGAAATACATAGTTCAATCACTGTTTAGGTCAGGTAAAAAGTCAGGCCACCAGAGGTCATCAAAGGTCAAATTTTGCCTATTTCAGCATTTTGCTGTGCATAACTCGGGAACCAATAGAGCTACAGCGCCGCGGAGTAGTGCATTCGATATCCCTTCTAACGCCCCTCTGCCATGTGTCATAATATTTGACTTTTGCCAGAATCGTGATTTTCTCGTCGAAACTCGTCAATGAGATATAATTTGAACTTGAAGGGTCATTTTGAAAAGTTGACCTCAGGTCAAGTTCATGACCTAACCGGAAAAGGTGATGTTGCATATCAGTCGATCCGTATCGTCGAGCTGAACACAGCTGACGTGTTTTCGCCGCTCTAGCATGTCTCTATCAGACGCTATTGTAAAAAAAAAACCTGCCGGAGACCTTTAACCCTCGCCGGCACAGGGAGGCCTGGATGATGTAACCTTCCTAAGGTTTTTCGCGAATAACTCGCGTAAAAAGCGGCCGATCGCGACGAAACTTTCAGTACCCATGCATTGATCAATTTTCCACCCACCCTAAAAAAGTTCATGACCCTGACCCAAATGACCTTTGACCTGTGACCTCTTTTCCGAGATCATGTTTGGCCGGAATCGCGATTCGGCGTATGTCGGCTCGCATTAGCCGCGCGTTTGCAAGCTTTTCGTGGTTTCAAACGTTCAAACATGTGATTTGATGTAGCTTCCATGCATTAGGGTGGGTGTCAAGGTCACCTGAAGGTCAGGTCAGGTCATTGACCTTTGGTGACCTCGGCTCACTTTTTCGAGTTTTACATGTTTCAAGGCTAGTTTTTGGAGCTGAATTCGAATTTAGCAACCATTTGAACATTTACGAAGTAGTGTTGGTGCCTTCGTAACATGTTACGAAGCTGTCAGAGGTGGACGACAGGTCATACCGTCATTTCCTCCGCAAATCTCTAACTCAGTCAAGGGTTGATTTGGATTGGCTGGAGGATGCTGGGAATGCATCGGACCCTCCTCCCCCCTCCCTCGTTACAGAGGCGGATCCAGCTGAGTTTGGGGGGGGGTCAAACCATAACAATTTATCGATTCTTTCCATGCATCGTCCATAGGCGTAAAGTTAAAATTATGCCGTTGGGGGGGGGGGGGCAAATGCCCATTTTGCCCCCCCCCCTGGATCCGCCACTGCCTCGTTACTAAACGCTGTAAAAAAGGCCTATACGGGCGAGTCATAAATAACAAGGAAGGAAAACCAGATGTCGTTGGTGAAGTTTTTTACTTGTGTGATTCCTGTTTATTGATTTCCTCCGACCTGTTGGGAACGTTTTCCTGGCTGGCCCTCCATTCAAAATTTGGTTCAATGTATGACATGTGACAGCGAATATTCAATTGTTTGTCGCTCTCGCTCGGTCGAGCAACCATTTTCAGATGTGCGACAAAAATGAAAACGTTAATAGCTAATTGGGGAAAGTTATGAATTCTCATGAGCTCTATTGGTAGAAACATGATGATTGTAATTAAAGTACTTCAGTGTCTAATACGCTCTAGCTATGACTTCCAATGTTTTATTTGGTTTTCTTTGACCATGCCCGGTTTGATAATTTTCTCGCCTTTTCCAACTCCTGCTTACTTCCCATTCAACATTTCGCCTGGGGATCAGCTGGGGAAATATTGGGATTTTTTAGCGCTTTCCTCTTCCTGGTTTGGGAGCACTGGAAAATCCTGAGTCTTCCCCAGTTATCTACCTGTTGGTTTCAGTGGAGGCTAGGGAATCTCTGGTTTTCTCTTGGCATCTTTTTAAGATTCTTAGAAACGTCAGGACGCTCGGAAATTCCTCTGTTACTTGGTTCGTGCTTTTCAATGTGCTGTGGCATCATATTGGGTCTGGGGACGGCGCAGGATATTTCGAGCAGCCGCTTGGGGAAGTTCTGGGATATCCCGGTCGGGACCCTGCTCTTCACCACGTGCTGTCATTGAAGGCTTGAGGATCACGCGGGGCATGTCCCTGGCGATCGCTTGAGGAGCGCTTGGGAATCGTCCTAGAAATGATTGAGAGATACCAGACCATTTGTTTTTACTTCCCAAGCAAAAAGCTTCGATTTCTCTGACAGTCACTGGGAAAAGCTTTGGATTTCTCGTTTGGGTTAGGAGTGAAATCGCTGAGTGGGTATCTGGCTTCTACGATATCTCCCATATTCAGTGACATTCGTCCGGGTAGGGGAGTGGTTTTTTTTTTGCCACACTCGCTCGTTTTTTCGTGTGTAAAGGGAACCGCGAGGCCCAACGCCACGGTATTGCCAAGGATGCAAAGGATTGGAAATGGATTAGGGAAGTCATGATTTCTCACCCAACCCCCATCCTACGCTCATTGCTTGCATAATATGATTTGTGTGACTGTTTTTAATGATTGTTCCCCGTTCTCCCTCAGGTAGCAGTACTGCTGCTGTTCGTTGCCACTGCGCAGGCGCGTGACATCTTCCGCAAGCCGTCCGGCAAGTACAAGGCGGCCAAGCTCCGCTTCAAGGAGGAGAATGCGCTCACGCTGCCAGAAGATGTCCTCCCCGAGGTGGAAATGATTGACGTCGGACTGAGGCAGCCGCCTCCCAGGGATACCCTGTCATCGGATAACATCAATGAACTGTCCGAGCCTTTCCCCGAGAGCCTGGCGCCATCGGAAGAGGATCTCGGCAGCGTCACGGATCTTGGTGACGTTACTCCCAGCAGGCGACGGCAGAGGAAGCTCCAGCCGCAGCGCCGTGAACGTGTTGGAGGAGACGATGATCGACAGGGAGATGGCAGGAAGGGAGGCGACGATCGAACGGGAAATGACAATCGAAGAGAAGATGATAATATACGAGGAGACGACGATCTAAGAGGAGACGACGATGGGAGGGGAGGCGACGACCGAAGGGGAGACGACGATCGAAGGGATGACGACGATGGAAGGGGCGATGACGATGGAAGGGGCGATGATGATGGAAGGGGAGATGATGACCTAAGAGGAGATGACGATCGAGGCGGAGACAATTACAACGAGAGAGACGACGACTTCTTCGAAGATCTCTATGACGATATTAACGGAGTCGGTGATGACGACAGGCGTGCTCGTAAGGGTCAAAGCTCCAGCTCTGACAGCAGTGGTGACGACTCTGCTGGCCAGGATGACGACCGTTCCAAGTCAGGCAGGAGAGGCGACGACGACGACGACATTGGAGGTCGCGCCATCGGTAAGAGCGAAGATGGCTCCGGTAAGCGTCCCAGCGACGACGATGGTTCCATGTACCGGGGTCGCGCGTACAGAGGAAGGGGCAGCCCCTTCCGCAGTCGCGGCAAAGCCGGCAAGAAAAGTACGGATGATGCCGCCATAGAGCTCTCCAGGTCCTTGGAACACCACCGGACGAGGCTGGGTGGGGTGCGCAGCGCGCGTCCGCGAGGTACCGGTCGGTTCAGTGGCGGTGGACAGGGAGCAAACGCCGACAGCCTGGACGGCGAGGTGAATGGCGTCAAACCCCGGCGCCGTGTCAGGCTGGGGATCCGAGGGGCAAGGATCGGAGGCCCCAGCAGAAGGTTAACCGGCCGTGGAGGAATGGCTGGAGGTAACGGAGGAATGGCTAGAAGCGGCGGAGGAGGGGCTGGAGACGGTGGAAGGAGGTTCAGAGGCGGTGGAAGAAGGCTCGGGGGCCGTGGCAGAAGGTTCCCGAACCGTGACGACGACTACGATGATGGTTTTGGGTCTCCGACCGCTGTGGGTCCTCGTCGCTTTAACCGCAGAGGAAGGGGACCCGCCGGACGCCGTAGGGGTGACAATCGGCCTATTGACGACACTGTCTCCGACACAGCACTTGCCACCGCAGGTGACACAGGAGAGGCGGGGCCAGGTGTCCTGAGCCGCCCCGACCTCGACTTACCCGCAAACGACGACGGTTTTGACAGCCGAGACGATTACGTCGAACAAGATGGCTACGACGACGACGGACGATACGATGATTTGGACGGAGCCTTCGCAGGACGAAACCGAGGCTATTATGACGACGATCAATACGATGATCAAGGAGACGATATTTACGACGATCGTGGTGACGACATCTACGATGATCACGGAGACGATATGTACGAAGATCGTGGAGATGATATCTACGATTATCACGGAGACGACAGCTACAATGATCGCGGAGACGACAGCTACGATGATCGCGGAGACGATATCTACGATGATCGCAGTGATGATGGTTATGATGATCGCGGAGACGATACCTACGATGATAGCAGAGGCGATATCTACGATGATCGCGGAGACGACAGCTATGATGATAGCGGAGACGATATCTACGATGATCATTCTGATGATGGTTATGACGATCGCGGATACGATACCTACGATGATAGCGGAGACGATACCTACGATGATCGCGGAGACGACAGCTACGATGATCGCGGAGACGATATCTACGATGATCGCAGTGATGATGGTTATGATGATCGCGGAGATGATACCTACGATGATAGCAGAGGCGATATCTACGATGATCGCGGAGACGACAGCTATGATGATAGCGGAGACGATATCTACGATGATCATTCTGATGATAGTTATGACGATCGCGGATACGATACCTACGATGATCGCGGAGACGACAGCTACGATGATCGCGGAGACGATATCTACGATGATCGCAGTGATGATGGTTATGATGATCGCGGAGACGATACCTACGATGATAGCAGAGGCGATATCTACGATGATCGCGGAGACGACAGCTACGATGATCGCAGTGATGATGGTTATGATGATCGCGGAGACGATACCTACGATGATAGCAGAGGCGATATCTACGATGATCGCGGGGACGACAGCTATGATGATCGTGGAGACGATATCTACGATGATCGTACTGATGACGGTTATGACGATCTCGGAGACGATACCTACGATGATCGCGGGGACGACTTCTACGATGATCGAGGAGACGATACCTACGATGATCGCGGAGATGGTATCTACGATGATCGCGGAGACGATATCTACGATGATCGTAGTGATGATGGCTACGATGATCGCGGAGACGATATCTACGATGATCGCAGTGATGATGGCTATGACGATCGCGGAGACGATACCTACGATGATCGCGCAGGCGACATCTACGATGATCGCGAGGACAACGGCTACGATGATCGCCGAGACGATGTCTACGACGATGGCAGTGATGATGGTTACGATGATCGCGGAGACGATATCTACGATGATCGCGGAGACGATACCTACGATGATCGCGGCGGCGATAGCTACGATGATCGTGGAGACGATATCTACGATGATCGCAGTGATGATATCTATGACGATCGCAGCGATGATGTATATGATGATCATGGTATTGACAGCTACGATGATCGCGGCGATGATGGCTATGACGATCGAAGTGATGACAACTATGATTATCAAGGAGACGATTATCGAAGTGACGATGCCTACGATGATCGCAATGATGACAGCTACGACACAAGTAATGACAGTTACGATGATCAAGATGATCGCTACGATGACAGAACCGATGATGGTTATGATTACAGAGGCGACGATGATTATAATAGCAGGGACGATGATTTGTACGACGATCAAGGCAAAAGCAACTACGACGACCGAAGTGATGACACTTACGATGATCAATACGACGCCCGTGGAGACGATATCTTCGATGATCGTGGTGATGATAGTTACGATGTTCGTGGCGATGACGGCTACGATGATCACAGAGGCGATGATTACGATTATCGAGTCGATGACAGGTACGATGACCGCCGCAGGGACGACCTCTACGACGACCGCGGCGATGATCTGTACGACGATGGCCGTGATGACGGCAGGTATGACCGCCAGGATGACGGCTATTACGATGATGATCGTTATGATACGCGAAATGATCGTGCCGACGTTCAAGATGACAGACGAATTGACGATTATGTCGATCAGGTGGACAGCTACGCGCCGGATTCGAGTAACGACGTCCCAGACGCGGCGTACGATGACACCGGCAGCGAGCCGCGCAGCGCGAGGTATTCCATCGGTGACCGACTCGGCGATCAGTACGATTACGACAGACGAGATGACGGCTACGGCGCCGGAGATCGGTACGGCAGGAGCGCTCTTGCTGGGCGAGATGAGACATACGACGATAGCTACGGCACTCAGGACGGATACAGCGATGTCAGCGGATTTGACGACGGTTTCAGCAGCCCTGATGTCAGCTATGATTCAGTGGATGTGGTCTATGATGACAGGACCGACTACAGTATTCAAGATGATAGCTACAGTGCCATTTGAAAAAGCCAAGAAGACAAACGGCAATGGCAACAGTCACAGCCGCAGTGCGGCAGCCAAATGCAACACTTGTTTCTTGAAGCATGAAAAGCTCAGGATGTGTCGACCTTTGCAATTAAGCCAAACGATATAGTTTTGTGAGGCCGTAAAGACTGAGCTAAGATCTGTCGCGAATATGCCTGAAGACATGCGCAATACTTGCGGCACTATGACACTGAGTGCACTGCGCTTGCAATGATTGCCGTCCGCAGACTATAACTTGGCGACAGATATTTAGCCGCGCAACATATCAGATCAATGTCACTCATGGATCTATCTTCGCAATTTCCATAAAAAATGTGCGCCTTGGAAGCACTTACTCTTTCCTAATTGTTATCTGATTAATTCTATGAGCCCATCCAGCCATCATTGAGCCTGGATCATATCTGTTGTTTCAGGTAATATGTGAGTGGTTGATAGTCCTTATATCTGCTGATAAGATCACCATCTGTGTATTTAGGGCCTTGGCCATCTGGCTATCTCCTAGAAACCTTTCATGCTGATGTTGCAGTTATTCAAATACGTTGATTGTTGTTGATTGTGGACACGTGTACTGACAGACGAGGTCGTTTGTGCTCATGTCAAGGGTGATAAGGAATGACTTCTGAGATGAGGAACTGTCAAAAACGTGGATGTTTCTCAAAGGCGCCATTGCTGGATCATGCGTCCCATTTGAGCTTGTTTTACCGGAACAATGAATATGTGAATAAATATATAATCATGTTTAATTACTTTTCAACTTTTTCCGCTGAGGAAAGTATGAGTGCAAAGAACAAATACCAACGCTCAGCTGCAACCATCCACTGCAGCTTACTGTGCATGCGCCCAAAATAGATGCCTCGGATAGCTGCTCCTGCATAAAAAGATAAAGGTATAGAGTTTTAGCTCTTCAAATACAAACTCGGAAGAGCACTTATCACAGCGGTACTTCATAGATAAACTGTGTACGTCTAATGGACGGTCGAATCTTACGACACGCCATTTTTGGCTCCAGACGCACACCGTTCTACCTGCACAGGAACACGATGCTTGTTATAAGCCAGATCTCAGATTTTTACATTAGAGGTAAAAAACGGCCTTTTCTCAGTTTGTAATAAACTTGTTCCTCTGGACAATATGCAGTTAGCACGTTGAATATATATGTCTCAATCCAGAAAGTATGGTAAGTAATGATAGGAAGACTAAAGCAATGCTTTGTCAATCTGTGTAGTTTCAGTGGCTTGTGTTTTGGATTGGCACGTAGAAATTCACATGTTAGGTCAAATGAAAACACTTCGGAAGTTACATTCACTTTATCTGTCCTGTCAGCAACATAATCGCCATCGATTCATCCTCGACACTTTTTTCCTATGTAAATTAACCGTAAAAGGAAGTGTAAGCCGTGTTTTATCGCGCCTATTTTCCTTCCATTTAGGTATCACAATAATCACACTGGACAGTCAAAATGTCCAGCCAATCGACCCATGTGAACAGATCCTCAGTATACTCCATTTCCTTCCTTTCTCATGGTGCATGAGCTTGACGCTCTAGCAGGAAGACAACTGACAAGCGGAATCTTCCTCACATTGCACCTTAAAAATCAGGCACATAGAGTCGTTGGCAGCGGCTGTTCGCTATATGGATCGTTTGATGTAGGTACTTTGTTCATTATCCATGCACGGGTAGCGTCTATCAGGCCCAGGGTATATTCCATTCATTGCGACTTGCGAGTGTCGGAGAGGGAGACTTCAGCCTCCTTCCTATGTCCGAAACTACTGACCCGATTTTCAAATTCTGCTCCGACGTTTGATAGCCCTCAAGAACCTGTCCAATGAAATATCATTTATATGTGGGCGAGGATGGATGACATGATTATGATTAATATAAGGAGGTTTAAAATGATTTCACGCATGTCAAAGTGTTTTTGTTTTAGGCAAAATAAATATATAAAACAGTTAAACTATTTCCGTGAGTTCAAAGCTCTCACGTGAGTTTTACTGTTTCATAGATTTATTTTGCCTAAAATAAAAACACCTTGACATGCGTGAGATCATTTTAACCTCCTTAAATATCATTTCATTTTATTCGAGAATCGAGATCACATATGAGTGATGACATTAAAAGCCAGGTCTAGGTAAAAGCCTACCAGCATTTAGCCGTATCAACGTTTAGGCTCTAGCTGTTGCTCAACAAGTCATCCAAGCTCGTTTCTGGACTCTACTTTTGGCGCTTAGGCACACCCATAAATGTAGGCTGAAAGCATGTTGCTACCCTGCGGGTACCAGGCCTATACTTTGCATGTTTCAGTTCAAAGCTAGTTCAGACTACATCACAAAAGTTCACAGAAATTGAAAGGCATGCATAATTGCATACTGTAAAGGCCATTAGCACACGTCCTATTAGGCTTATATTTGCCGTTGCAATAACATTTTACATTTCTTCTCTTACACATAACGTCCACACCAAGAACGCGATGCTAGCGTTCTTCGAGACTGTGCTCTTGAAAACGATTGGCGTACTAGGAAAATATTTCAATGAAAATCGACCGATCACAACGTCACTCTGAAGTCATTTCCGGATGTCGGATGACCTTTAGTAGCTATGAGCCTTTCCCTGTTGAGACCAAATGTGAAACAATGTGTCGATACGTGTAATTTCGAATGTATTGCAGAGACTGCGCGAGGGGTTCTGTAGGTCCCCCTCGTCACTCGTCAGACATGCACAATTTGCACAAGTTCATAGACAATGCAGCAGGGAAAATTTGATCAATAGCATTGCAAATTTGTATAATGCATTGTTGTGTAGACATCCTCGGCCCCTTCTCCCCTTGGTCACAGCGGTTGGCCATAGGACTCCTTTCTCCCATGCCTGTAGCATCCCTCGACCCTCACTGCACTTACCTCTATGTCAATCCACGGTCAACCTTGCCCTTGGCCAACAGAAATACGCTTCTGCTGCGCCAATCAGCTGATTGTCGTCAGCTGACGTGGGCAGGTCGGAGATAGATGGCGCTCGGAGCGGCGGCGGCCTGCACTGTGCCACAAATGCTGAGAGGCACTCTGCAGAAATAAGCTGTCACGGGGGAGGGGGGGAGGGGGACTGACCCCGACTCGTCAGTTGATGGCAGAGTGGGCTGCAGCGTAAAATACAGAACAGAACACCTCGGACCAGAGGAGATGCTGACAGTGACACCGAGAAGAGAAAACACTTTTTTATGGTGAAACGCAATTTTACGGTTCACCGAATGTGAATGTTTGTCATCATAAGTGTGGATGAGCTCGGCTTGGATTTTGGAATTTCTTATCAACTCGAAAATATTCATCTGCTCATTTGTTATGCAATGAATGAAAGTATAAGTCCAAAAAGCGTTTCTACAGCATTAACCTTCACCCCAGTGGGGGGGGGGGGGATACCTATGTTACCACCCTGTCGCGTTTTTTTTTTTGCGTGTAAATAAAAAACCGCTTGGAGTAGCTTTTTGTATATCAATTTTGGACAATGTGTGCATTTTTTACCCCAAGTCATGTCAGGTCAGGTCATCAGGTCAAGTTAACTTACCAAGCCTAAAAAGTTTGCAATCATGTCCAGCCTGCAGTGTTTGTCAGAAAGGCTTTAAACTTGGTGGATTGCATGATGTTATGGGCGCCTATAATTTGTATATCTCGGATTTTTATACCTGTGACCTAGGGTCAGGCCAGTGGCGTGACCTTACCATTATAAGTCAATGGAGAAAAATGAAAATGCCTGTAGATCCGTGTGTACGCATAGCAACAGTCCAAATATTTCAGAATCACAATGATTTGGACCACCCGTGACAACCAAGCCTTCTTTTTTGTTGATAGCCTCTAGAAAGGTCATCCGAGGTCATTTGAGGCTACAAACATATTTTTGCCAATAATTCTCGATTGGAAAGAGATAGGACGCTGGGGATGGCCTCATTGTGTTTGTCTTGTTCAGAGCATCGAATGACGAATGATATGCAACATGACCTTTTCCGGTCAGGTACTGACCTTCAGCTGAGGTCAACTTTTCAAGTTGACCTTTCAAGGTCAAATTATAATTCATTCGACGCGTCTCGGCGAGAGGAACACGATTCTGGCAATAGAAATGTCGTGTTTTTTTTTAGTCAAAAGTTATAGTTAAAAAACACATTTCGTAAAATGTGTTTATGTGTCTCCCGGTATTTTGGGAGTTTTTGCTCTCTGGAGGCTAAACCATTGACTTGAGGACAATTTTGATAATGATCTTATCAAAAGAAGAGTTTGAAAGCTATCGATTGCTCTTCCATACGGTTTTCTAGCTTATATCATAGTTCCTGAGATAAATGCATGTTTTCTGAGAAATATAATGACATTTGGCAAATTTTGACCTTTGATGACGTCCTCCAGTGACTCCAATATTGCTCTAAGATGAAAAATGACCGAAATACTTTCAAACGTACGCATTGAGAGCTATCGACTGCTTTTTACCGCGTCTTTCTAGCCCTCTTAGTTTTTGAGTTAGAGGTGGGTGGTAACATATGCCCCCCCCCCAATAGGGCAAAGGTTACGGTTCTATGCTGCCACATAGGGAGGGCTCAGGAGACAGATAACGTCAAGGGGCGTCAAGGTTTTGTCGATTTTTAAGACTTTGCTGTGCAGTAGATTTTCTTTTTTAGGGTCTAAGGGAGCCTAAAGGTTAATATCAAACTGCATTAGAGTATAAAATCCTCGGAAAATTAATATTGGCGAGGATTGGTAGACACCCGCTGACGTCATCTTTCAAGGTCAACGATGTAAACAAACGGCTAACCATTCTACCTCCTATATACGGCCTTGGGTCGAAGTTGGCTGAGACCGCCACTGCACTATGGTTGGAAACGGTCTCACGGATGGCCAGGGGCAATTTCGGAATATATGCATATTTTGGGTGTCAATCTGTTGGAAATTGAGGAAATGTTTTGAATTGGGCAGAAAAATATTTAGTTACGCATTAACCCTCGCCGGCCGAGGGTGCCGCCCCCCCCCCCCCTATGGGTTTTTTCGCAATAGCTCCGAACACGCTGGTGATAGAGAGCTGAAACTTGGCATATCTGACCTTTGATTCAACCCGGATCTTTTGGCACCAACAGCATTTTTGAGTCAGGTCAGGTCACTGACCTATGACGTTATAAGTGAACCTCTGCACGGTCTTCAGATGTCGCAACTTCGCAACGCCCACACTGCCAGAAAAGATGTCACAGGGAAATGAAACTTGCAGGATCTAGTATCAATTATGAGTTTACAACTTGTGTATCTCAGATTTTTCCTAAAGGTCATATGAGGTCAGGTAATTTTCGTGAACTCTCCATTATAAGTCAATGGGGAAAAATGAAAACTGCTATTCTGGCGCCGGGAACGATCTCCAACTATCTCAAGCACACAGAATCGTGATTTGATGTACATCTTGCAAGGGTAGATGTGTTACTTTTGCAATGTTCACCTTGCGTGACGTCATTTATGACGTCATCAAGGTCATATTAGTTTTTCGTCAATAACTCCCGATCAAATTGAGCTAGCGAGTCGGGAAAGCCACCAATGGACTCAGGAAGACCTGCCGAATCGAATGATATGCGACATGACCTCTTTCGACCAACTTCGTGACCTGGGGGTGCTGACCTGACCTTGACCTGAGGTCAACACCCTAAGTTGACCTGACCCGAACAAGAAGTATATCATTCGACGCGCCTGAGCGAGGCGAACACGATGCTTCCAAAATCGCGGCTCTGCGGCCGTATTTGCGTAGTAATACACCAAAAACTAAACCGTACCTTGGGGCACTTGACCTGACCTCACAGGTCACCGGTTGATCTCGGACCTTAAAATCGGGTACCAATCTCTGCGTCTCGTAACGGCGCACATGCTCGTTTTTTCTGCGACGCACTAGGCTCCACCAGGGGCGAAACGGCGAGGGGGGACGTACCCGCCCCCCCCCCCCCTCGGCCGGCGCGTATGTAGAAAATCAATTGGTCCGGCGAGGGTTAAGTCTTTATCATCGCCCGCGAAATCAAGAGTTTCTGATAGTGGGTCTTTGTTACGCCACTAAAGGTTTAACCCGCGCCCCGTAGGGCTATCGGCGGACCCTACCAGGTCCGTAAAGGGGTGGGGGGGGGGGCGTTTCGCCCCCCCCCCTAAGATCTCGGAAAATTACCGGCCGATTTTCAAAATTCAAACGGTGTTCGATAGCCCCATACGGAAACTACCTTGTGACCAAATTTCATTGACCTAGGTCAATCCGATGACGTCACAGGTCAGGTCAAAGGTCGGATTTTCACCGTTCACAGGCATTTCAAGACATGTGTTGTGAAATCGAGTAAATTGGGAATTTATTGAAAACCATCGATGGCACATTGTTCGTCAAACACATACTTTGCTATTTGAGGTCACTGATACCAGGTCAGGTCACAGCGAGGTCAGGTCACCGGGGGTCACAATATGAAAGTGTCGTGTGATACATGTTTTATTGTCCATTTTACATAACGAATGCGATTATGTGGGTTAGGCAGCCTTTGGGGCTAGCCTAGGTCACGTTTTGGTGAAGGTCAGGTCAAGGTCAGGTCAAATTAGGTCAAATTTAAAGTTGATATTTTTGCATAAAATGGGTATCAATTTGATTTAGCTTGTCACGGGGAGTCTAATGGAAGTCTTTGTTTTGCTCTACGATGTCTAGAATTGCCACAAATTTAGTTTGAAAATTTGACGTCGTCATTTTTGAACAGTTTTTTCGCTATTACTTGGCCAAAAAACGAGATATCGATCTGAAATTTGGTATGTAGATAGTAGACGGTAGTTGCAATCACATATAATCCGGTTTTATCGAAACTCAAAAAAACTTTTTTGATTTCTGGGCTTATATATATAAAATGTTTTTTTTTTTATTTTTGGTGGTCAAAACTAAAAAAAAAATCAAAAATCTAAGATGGCTGTTTTGTATAATTTCACCGCTGCTGTGCCACAGGACTGTCCCATCCCCGCCCAGCTGACAGAGGGCCGTCCCATCCCCCCTCAGCTGTTCGTGGGACCATCCCATCCCCCGCTCAGCTGTTCGTGGGACCGTCCCCATCCCCCGCTCTCAGCTGCTGGGCTCCGCGGGCCGTTCCATCTGCCGCGCTCCGCCGTCGGTCCACAGTCGTGGCTGTGACGGCGCCGACGGAGGTCGGCGGAGCGCCGCGCCGGTGCCGACGGAGCGCCGCAGTGACCGTCGACGGCGGGCCAAGGTCAGTGGGTCAGCCGGCGCGCACGGCCCGGGCCGGGCCGCGGCCGTCGGTAATGGTGCGCTGCAGAAATGAAGGGTGTTAGCCGGTGATGGGGGTTGGCGTGGACCGACGATGAGGGCCGAACGGCCGCGGTCACCGGACGGGGGCGGGAGGACCGTGGGAGGGGGAGGGGGCGCATAGCAAGGGAGGGGTGAAAATGGAAGAAAAGTGAGAGCGTAGCAATTAGTTTAGCATGCAAAGCAGACAGGAGTGCGATTTCAACCATTGAAATGAAATGAAATGAAAATTGCAAGTGAAGCGAAATTTGTGAAACGCTTCATGGAGAAATGAATAGAAATGTTTCGCCATTAGTTATGATCCCCTTATGAAGAACTGTAATTATTTATTTTCGTTAATGGCTGAGCTGATGCTCTTTATTGCGATATTATACTCATTTCGCACGTATCATAGCGAACTGATGACGTTTCTATGCTGCCTGCTAATGAACGCATTTAACGTACTTACATAGGTGAGCAAAAAGATAAATGATCACATGAAAGGTAATCATTCGATGATCACACTACCAATTGCATGTATTTACCAGACTGTGGAATAGCTTACTAAAACATTGCTGCAATCTTATATTCTTCCCTTCTACTGTATATCTTTCCTCTCCTCCCCTCTCTCTCCCTCTCGTTATTTCTCTCTTTCACTCTATCTCCTCATATTCTTCTTGTTTCCTCCCTCCCTTTTCTTTCACTTGCTTCCTCACGTATTCATTCATAGATCTTTTCAGCAGATGCTAACGTTCCACTCCGGAGGCATCCTTGGCCATCCAGCCATTTCATGGATACGAGTTGATACAAAAGCATCCAAACATGAAAAACTCTGGAAACATATGTAGCAACGACAGATACACGTTGCAAAGCCGTAGCCCAGTCACGAACAGCGGCTGACCTGGCCGTGGGTCTGACCTTTGGTGAATATTGACCTTAGAAGTGTCACCATTTGCCGGGGTGATAGCACACAAAGCGTCTCCCGTCCAGTCGAACGACTGCTGCCCTGTCAGCCAGCGACATTTATGCCTTCAGACAGTGCGTGGGCCGCGTGCCAGCTGGTATTTTCGGTATGGGCTCGCTTCCGATAATTGCTCTTAAAATGCTACAGCTGCCAAACAGCAGTTATTATTGAACAGCCAAGGATTTTTGTAGCCTCTAATTGCAGCCTCTACTAAGCGGATATTGGTATTCAGCTGTGTGTGTCGAAACAGACTCTGATCCTGTTAACACTATTAGTGGCAGGGGGGGGGGGTGTTTTCATCCACCCCTCAGGTTTTTCGGGAATATCTCCGAAACCGCTGAAGCTATGATGCTGAAATTTTCTGACTTTTCCTAAAACTAAATTGGGCACATTCCCTGAAAATTTCAAGTTCATAATTTTACCAGGGGCGGCTCCAGAGCACTGGGAATTGGGGGTCCTATTTAGAGTTGCAAAGTTTCCCCCAAAGGCTGCTACCGGCACCGCCCCGCCCCACAAAAATTTTCTGGGATACCGGCATGCTACCACGCCCCAAGCAAAAACACCACCAAATTACCGGCATACTAAAAAACCTGCATTGTTGATTCCAGCTTACCCCTACAAGAGATGCCACATTTTGACAATTTCAGTAGGTACCCATCCCACCCAGTAGCCACCCATTGTCCAACCACAACTACGAGCAGGCTGATTTTTACTCAGTTGTGAGTTGGCCCTACAAATACCCACAATTTTGAAACCCAACTCCATCTATAACTGTTGAAATATAACCTGTAATCAAAGAGGTATTGCCTACAAAAAGCATTAACCCGCGCCCAGATGGGGTCTGCCGAGCAACGCGGTCTGATGGGGGGGGCCATTTTGGCCCCCCCCTCAGATCTCGAGAACCACGCAACATAGCGACAAGCGGTAAACGGTGTTGGATAGCCCCAACGGGGAACTACCTTGTGACCCAATTTCATTGACCTCGGTCAAACCAATGACGTCACAGGTCAGGTCAAAGGTCGAATTTTCACCGTTTACAGGCATTTCAAGAAATGCGTTGTAAAATCGTGTAAAATGCATTTCATTGAAAATCATCGATGGGGAAATGTTCTTCAAACACATATTTTGCTTTTTGAGGTCACTGATACCAGGTCAGGTCACAGAGGTCAGGTCACTGGGGGGTCACAATATGAAAGTGTCGTGTGATACATGTTTTATGGTCGATTTTACATGACAAATGCGATTATGTGGGTCAGAAAGACTTAAGGGCCAGCTTAGGTCACGTTTTGGTCAAGGTCAGGTCAAGGTCAGGTCAAGGTCAGGTCAAATTAGGTCAAATTTCAAAGTTGATATTTTTGCATAAAATGGGTATCGATTCGATGCAGCTCGTCACGGGGAGTTCAATGGTGGTCTCCGTTTTGCGTTACGAGGACTAAAATTGCTAAAAATTGAGTTCAAAAATTTGACTCATCAATTTTTAACAGTTTTTTCGCTATAACTTGGCCAAAAAAAGAGGTATCGATCTAAAATTTGGTATGTATATCGAAGAGCGCAGGGACTATCACATATATTCCGGATTTTTCGAAATTCGAAAAATTTTTGGAAATTTTTTGAGTTTTTCTAAAAAAATCAATTTTTTTGATTTTTGGGGGTCAAAATCCAAAAATTTCGAAAATCTGAGATAGCAGTTTTGTAGCGCCGTCTTTTCTCTACACAACCACATAAAGAACTTTAAAATTGCTTGTTAACTGTAGAATTGGTGAGCGTTTCAAGATGTCATGTTTTTTGCTCATTTTTACTCGAACATGACCTCAGTTTGACCTCAATAACTCCTGACCTGAGGTGACCTGTGACTTGAAATTTTGTGTGAAGGTGTCAAATTGATGTCCGGTAAGGTACCTAAAATTTGGCGGCGCTGCGCGCCGCCGTTTTCTCGCTATTTAAGAAAAACCACAGGGGGGGGCCAAAATGGCCCCCCCCATCAGGGCGCGGGTTAAACTAGTTATCATCAAAAAGCAAGGACAAAAAGAACTTGAATTACTGAAATGTGTTTCTGAAGACTGGACAGTTAGCAGTAATCACATTTATATTTCACAGGTCACAGGTGTTCTATTATTCCACATTCTCCTAAAATGTTTCAGGCATCAACCAAATGTTCAAAATATAGATGACCACAACATAAAAACTACCTACCGATTCCAATTCGGCCATGTTCCTAACTGAGGAAGCGAGATCAACATCTGTTTTTTCCCTATTCGCCATGGCTTGCTGCTTCGTGAATAATATACGAATCATGTAAAAATATATGTTAATAACTCACTTGTCCTGAGAACAGTCACCAAATAATTACGAGCGAGCGAGCGCAGCGAGCGAAGCGAAGTCTTTTCAATATAACGGAAAAATCTCAGTATGAGCGGCCCGGCCCGGCCCGGCCCGGCCCGGCCCGGCCCGGCCTGTAACGCTTTTGAGAGGCTTATATCTCAGCAACCGCTGGACCGAATGGCCTGCGGTCTTTTTTGCTGGGTAGCCCCATCCCTTCTACCCCGTAATTGACTACTTTGATACATCTCAGTGACCGCCGTGGCACGTGCCACGTGAAAAGTCAAGGGTGTTCAAGCAGTTTTGCAAAAGTAATGATTTTGAGAGGCCCATATCTCAGCAGCGGCTCGAGCGATTGTATTGCGGTCATTTTTATAAAGTAGCTGCATCCCTTCTACCAAAGGTCGGATACTCTTCATCTATGTGAGTGACCCCCACTGCACGTGCAAAATACAACAATAAGAGGTGCCAAATTTGTTCCCATTTCAGTAACTCGGTAATTACTGGGGCGATTTCGCTGAAACTTGGCATACAGGTAGGCACCCACCAGGCAATACATTCCCATGTGTTGCGGATAGGTGCTACTGCACGTGCGCACGTGCAGGGGGCGTTTCCAGATCTCGAGAACGGCTGGGCCGATTGCGCTCAAATTTGGTACACGGTTGGGGACCGGTTAGTAGGGTGCCGTGCAAAAGTCATTTTGGACCCCGTTTGCACGTGCGCACGTGCAGGATGCCGCTTCCAGATCTCAGGAACGGCCGTGCCGATTGCGTTCAACTTTGGTACACCGCTAGCGACCGGTTAGAAGGGTGCTTGCACAAGCCCGTTGGAAGTACCCTCTCGCCCTTCCGCACGTGCAGGGCTCACTATCTCGCTCGCTCGTTCTTCGCCCAAAAGGCGTTTTACTGGTATGTATAAAAACGGTGTGATGCCCCCCCCCCCCATCGAATCTCACGATACTCTCCAAACACAAGGTTTCGAAACAGATGCGCCATAACAGAGGCTTTTAACCAGCTGATAAAACTGCTGCAAAAAAAAAGTTTTTGGACTGCAACACACTGCCTTGTGAATGACTTTATTGATGTAAATGATCCAACGATATTTTTTCTAACGAAATTAATATTTTGAGTGCAATTAACCCGCGCCCTGGTGGGGTCTGTTTATAACGCGACCTGGTGGGGGGGGGCTATTTTTTGCCCCCCTCGTATCTCCGAAACTACTGGACGGATCCGCAAAATTCAAACGGCGTTCGAAAGGCCTATCAAATTTGTCGAAGGGAACCAAATTTCATTGACCTCGGGGTCACCAATGACGTCACAGGTCAGGTCAAAGATGAAATGTTTCACCGTTCACGGGTCTTCTAGGGAATGCGCTATAACACCGAGGAAAACGCATTTTGTCGAGAATCAGCGGTAGGGCGTCAGTTGCCTAGTAGATATGTTGCTATTAGAGGTCACTGGCAATACCAGGTCAGGTCACAGGTCAGGTCACCAAGGGTCACAGGTCAGGTCACATGAGCCCAACTTTACAAGGTTGTGTGATGCATGTTTTATGGCCAATTTTTCATTTCCAACTCAATGGTGTTGGTTATAAGACTATCAGGTACGGCTTAGGTCACTTTCTGGTGAAGTTCAGGTCAAGGTCAGGTCAAGGTCAGGCCAAAAAAGGTCAAATTTTAAAGT